CTTGAACTTTGATTCTTGGAAAGAACTGATGTCTTGATCAGTATAAAGGGAAAAACAAATGCTTTTTCACCCCTAACTACTTAACGCTCTGTGGTAAATGTTGGTGGTTGAACTCAGCTCAATCATGTTTTGGATTGAAGTGTGATTACTTTCAACACAACGGTTTCTGAATCACGTCAATATCTTCTTTTTAGAAAAAGATACAAGTGTTTTGAGAAAGTATGAATTTTTTTAATTTCATTTACAATAATTGAGAACCACTCTCCAACCTTCTGCTTCATCATGTTTTGGATTGAAATGTGATCCCTTTTCGTCCCTTTTCAAGACGATGGTTTTTGATTCATGTTAATATCTTTATTTCTGAAGAAAAGATACCGAGTATTTTATGGAAGTATGGATTTATTATAAAGTTTATCAACAATAATTCAGAAATTATGGAACATCTTTGGGAACTCCGCAGAGGCTAATTTGCCTCCTCCGGCCTTGTCAGAGATAATTAAAATAAAATAAAAGGGCTACGACTCATCCTTCAAAAAGTTCAAGTTCTGAAAATACGGAAACGTTAGGATATGTTAATTTTTGCAACCTTCAAAAATCAATACTGTTACGTTATTCGGGTGCAGCAGCGAACACGACACTATTTATTTTCGAACTGATTTATGTTAACTAAAGAAACACTAATTTATATCGAACGTATAACTACTATTTATGTAAAACGATTTATATCACGCGGTATATAACTGTCTCTCTGACACTCGCTGCTTAACTGACTGACGGCAGTTATTCGGCCGTTTATATATGAGATCACTTGGCAGGCTTTGGTTCGAGAACCTTCTCGAATGATCTTCCGTCTCCTTCTTTTTGTTCAAGAAGCTTCTTAGAACAAACCTCTCTCTCTAATTGTTCCATGGATTGTTTCCAGAACATTCCAGAATCTTCTGTGACATTATCTGTCACTGCGGCATATATTGAGTGTTCGGAAATATGCTAGTGCATGTAGGAATCATTGGGAGGTAGGAGAACGATCTGGGATGCGTGTTACAGGATGAGCGTTGTACTCCTGTCTTACTGATGATGTTTCTAAAGCCCCTCTAAGGAAAATATCATTACAATACTTTCTTAAAACACGTGTTTCTTCTCTTGAAAAGAATATATTGATGCGAATCGAAAACCATTGTATTGAGCAGGGATCACACTTCAGTCTTAAACTGAATGAAATGGTAAGTTTTGTTATTTCCTGTATAATGATTGAGCCATCAACTTTTTTTGAAAACTCAATTCAAGGATAACATTTTAAAACGTCAGTCAACGATTTGGTTGGAATTTCACCAAAATCGGACAAGAATTAAAAAAGTTACCGGGCGCCCAATTGGGTTAATTTTTTGGTGGCCGTTTTTTTGCTGGTGAGCGTATTTCTATCGTTTCGATAATTCCTGAAATAATAACCTGGGAATTCCGATGGGATTTTTATTTCAGCTAATCTACATACAGGGTGTCCCTCAAAGATCTGTACACAATCTCAGCACATATTCCTCTGAGGTCGAAATAAGTCGATAAATAAACTTACCTCAGTCCAAAATTGCTCCATTTCCGAGATACAGGGTAGTAGAGTTAGGAAATAAAAATCAAATTTTTCAAAATGTCTGAACATTTTTAAACGTATCACTTCAAAAATTGGAAGCCAGGATCATTTTGGGATGCGAAACCCGAATACGGACACCTTGTTACTGTTGCCATAAGAGGACACTTACCAATTCACTTCTTTATGGTTTAAAATGGCCATAATTATTTTCTCAATGCATGTAGTTGTTCACTTCCTCCGTAGAACAAATAGTGTTCTGAAAATTTTTGGAGTAAAAAAAGCACCTTTGTAAAAATTCGCTAAAGTACGCCGTTTTCGAGATATTTCGGTTTTAGTGTTCGATGCCGCACCGGAATATTCAACATATTTTGAATTAAAAATGTTTGCTGTTATCTTTATGGTTGTGATTTGATCAGTGAATGAGCAGTGCAAAAATGGATTTCGCGAAATACTTTTTTGGAGTGTACTTGCTGATTTTTATTTTTTTTTAATTTACCACCCTGTATCTCGGAAACGGAACAATTTCGGACTGAGGTAAGTTGTTATAAATTAGCTTATTTTGACGTCAGGAGTGAGTTCAAAGATTTTGTACAGACCTTTCAGGGTCACCATGTATATTTATAATTTTTGTTACTTTAGTTGTTTTTATGTGAAAGCCAGATATTTTACTTAAAAATGAAATAAGGAGTTTGGGCAAAAATACTACCTTTCATTCCACATCTTGGTATAAATAATGGCCTACTTAATATAGTGGTTGGACTATTGGGAGGACTATTGGGTTCTTTGACGAAATAGCCTGTTCGGTTGGTTGATTTTTTGGTAAGTACTGGATACAAAATACCCCTATTCCCTGTTGTAACATCGGAATGGTAATAAAACACTCGAAAATGCCAATGAAACTGTGAAATACTTTTGAAATGCATTTTGAAAAGAATGAATGGCATTTCGAAATGAATGAAATGCATTTCGAAATGGATTAAATGCATTTCGAAATGTATGAAATGCATTTTGAAATGGTTGAAATCCATGAAATGAATGAAATACATGAAATGCTTCCGAAATGGATGAAATACTAACAAAATGGATGAAATGCTTATGAAATGCATGAAATGCAGGAATGCTTGGAACAATTTTCCACTAGTGGTTACCCCCTCGTTGAGATATTATAAAACCAAATGTAACAAGCAGAAATTGGAAAAATTGGAAATAGCTTCTGATCTACTTCACATTGTGCTTACATAGAATCAAATTGATCTGCTGTCAAAAAACAAGAAAAAGGTTAACTGGACTTGAGAAGAAATAGCTGTTGCATTTACATTGCGCTTTTATAGTGGGAAGTGCTATCTCAATTTGAGGAATAAACTGCATCACCCATTACCATCACTATCTTTACTAAGAAAATGGGCTTCACAAAAAAATGTTTTTCATTGAATAAACTACAATTCATAAAGGTGTTTCCTTATTTTATGTGCATAATATCAGGTTTATGGGCCCAGAACCTTTGGTGAATGTAATTAGTGCAGTTTTGCAGTAGGAAAGTGGTAGAGCTTTAGTCATGTCTATGCTCCTGTAGCAAGAATGCTGACTATGAGGACCTTGTTGGCAGTGGCAGCTGGAAGAAACTTACATATTCATCAGTTAGATATGAAGTCTGCCTTTTCGAAAAGTAAACTCAAGAATCCAGTTTATTTGAAGGCACCAGATGGGTTGAAAGTGAGTTCACCAGGTCTAGTATGTAAGTTAGTGAAATCTTTGTATGGTTTACGTCAAAGTCCAAAATGTTGGAATGAATATATCAATAGTAAATTGTTGAATTTAGAATTTAAGAGATCAAATGTTGATCCTTGTTTATATTTCAATAATGTAACATATATTTTTATATGGGTGGATGATTTCATTCTATTTTCTAGCAGTATCTCTGATGTTGTTAGGGTTAAGAGTGAGTTAATGAAAATTATTGATATGAGGGACATGACTAGTAAAAATATCACATTTCTAGGTCTTGAAATTGTGAGAGATAATGATAAGATTTGTATAAGTCAGGAAAAGCTTGTGAAGAAAGTAATCAATCGATTAAGGATGAATGATTGTGAAGTTTCTAAGGTTCCAATGCAACCAAAATTATATATTGAAAAAGGTTCAGAAAATAATGATTTCGAAGTACCATATATAAAGAACTGATAGGTTCATTAATGTATTTGATGTTAGGTTCAAGACCTAATTTTTGTTTTGTAGTATCATATTTTGGAAGATTCCAAAACGGTCATTCAGACACTCATTGAGAACATCTGAAAAATGTTATCAGATATTTGGAATAGACACAAAATTTTGGTCTTTCCTATAGTGATAAAAATGTTCTTTCAAAAATAAATTTGTCTTCATATGTTGATTATGATTATGCAAGTGATGTAAATGACAGGAAAAGTGTTAGTGGCTTTATTATCCTAATAAATAATAATGTAATAGGTTGGTGCTCTCGAAAACAAACAGTTGTAGCTCAATCAAGTAGTGAAGCAGAATTTTTGGCTTTATCAGCATGTATGTCTGAATGCTTTTTTTCTAGCTAAGTTGTTAAAAGAGATTTTTAAGCATGTATTTCCAATAAAGGTCTATGAAGATAATCAGGGCTGTATCAAAATGGCTCAGACATTTGAAACAAAGAGAACAAAACACATCGATGTGAAACATTCCACATTCCTCTTCCACTCTTTCAATTCCAATTTTTGAGAAACAAACTCAATGTTTTTGAAATGTAAAATTAAATGTATGTGTTAGGTATGTACTTGGTTTCGAAATGTTAAATTGAATGTATGTATTAGGTATGTACTTATCTATGAATATATATATTTCTACTATGTATGTACTATTGGAGAACTGAGGGGAAGTGTTGAAATGGGGACCTGTACAATTCTGAACACCTTGTATATCATAATTTGTTAACTAGATTATGTTGCTCAATCATTATCCGTTATTCTTGGTTACTATTATTATTCGATAGTCTTTTGTAATCGCGTTTAGTCGTATGTATAAGGAACGTGTTCTTCATCGAATTAAACTACAATTCATAAAGGTGCTTCTTCATTTTCTGTGCATAACACCACTTTCTTTTCATTGAAAACAACCTGTTTATATCATTCAATGTGATATCTGAACTGCACAATATATCTTTTAATGTTGTGGCTTGTGAGAATAATGATAGAAAGTGATATTAGTTTGTGGAATGAATTGCAGGTAGATCGTATAGATATGAATAATACTTTATTCAAACACCCTGTAACAAACAAGAATGTTTATATGTTTGCTGATGCTCCCCATTTGTTGAAATTGGTACGAAACTGGCTTTCAGATAAGGGTTAGGTTAGGTTAGTTTAGGTTAGGTTAGGTTAGGTTAGGTTAGGTTAGGAAAACAAAAAACAAGGAAACATCTTCAGCGCCCTCCGGGAGGAGAGGGATACAAGAGATACAACGGCGGAGGTCTCCACACCTCCTGGGAACGAAGACGGCAACAGAGATGGGAGTTCGGAAAGCAACAGGGACATGTCCAATGAAGTGAGTGACAGGAAAGAAAGAGAGGTTTACGAGAAAAGCATTCAGGAGAAGTTTGAGGTGGGAGAAATGTCTTCCATTAGGGAGGAGGAGATCAGGGAGAGGAAGGAGTTCTAGAGGAATATTCTGACCTCTCTGATCTTCTCTGAGGACGACCTCGAGGTTTCTAGAGCGCATGAGAGGGAGAGAGCAGTGAGGGACATAGTCTCCAAGAGGAAAAGATCAGATATAGTCCCAAGCAAAGTAAGAAGGTAAAAAATGAAGGGGGAAAAGCGGCTTGGAAGGCCGCGGTGCTGCGGTTGGTCCGCAAAAGTAGAGCGCTCGTGGAGCTCGCCAGGGAATCTGCAGGTATGGACGCCGACATGAAATCAGCAATTTTCGGCATCAGTGAAGTCTCGGATACGATTACGGAAGAACTAGGGGAGTATGAACGGCGAACTGAGAAAGAGGATGGTATGAGGAAGGCTAGACAGGAGATTGGCTGCTAGACGGAAGAGGATGGAAAGGGCTTATCGGAGGAAAGCATGGGAAGCTACGAAGAACTGGCCAAAGTAATAGATTCCGACTGGCCTGAGACCTTTTATAAGGCAACCAAGGAAGAAGTGGGTACCTTGATCAGGATCAGTGATAAGGGGGATGTGGTTATAATCGCCGGAAAGACTAATTGGGGGGGAAAGTATCTCAGGGGAGTCAAGGAGAGATACCCGGCGCTGGAATCCCTGGCAGAAGGCGATCAGATTGACTTCATCAAGTCGGAAACCAGAACGACCACTAGCAGGAGGGAAGAAAGTAAACTGAGTAGGTACATCTTCGTAGCGCCATGCAAGGTCGACAGAAACGGGGTGAATGACATGGAGGTCCTATATCGGGTCGCTTCCAGGCTTGCGGAGGAACTGGTGGTCGAGGGAAGGAAGAAGATATTTGTCTCAGTGCCTGAGAGGCTTGACAGGCAATACGTTAGGAAGATCCTGGAAAGTATCCTCAGGAACACAGAAATTGAGGCCATAGTGCTGGTGCCACCAGGAATGGAGCCTAAAATAGGAAGAAAGAAGAGGACAGCCCCGGAAGGGAATAGAGTAGTTGTCACGGTAACGGGCGGTAATAAATCCTACGCTGACCTATTGAGAGAGGTGAAACAGGGGGTGGCGGTGGAGAACATAGGAGTCAAATTGCAATGCTCAATATGTTGGACAAAGTGGTAGAAAAATTTTAACCAGAGTCACTGAACATGTTAAAATTATTGAAAAATCCAAGAATAACCCCCTTTATTTGATGAATATGATACTAAAAGTTCATTTGCAAACCACATCCTGAATTCACACCATAGTTTTGATCCAAATCAAGACCTCAAAATTCTGCATGTCTGTCCAAAAGGTAGGTTACTGGATTTACTGGAAATTTTCGAAATTAACTCTTCCTTGAATAATAATTCTGTCTTGTCTCTTAATGAGCAAACACAATTTGATTGTATAAAATTTTTCAATGCTTTGGATTTTAATCACTGATAGTTCACCTACCTTGGTCTCAACTTAATTTATGATATTTCATAGTCAATGATTTTCCAGGTTGCTCAAATCTCTCCCACATGTATCCCTCCCCCTTAATCCAAATTCTCCAATAATTGTAATAGATATTGTTAAATGCCTATGCTCGTGGTCAGATTTTCATGTTTTATCCCTTGACATTGACATTGACTCTATGTCAACGTCTTGTCCATGTCTTCAATTGACATAACTTTCAGTGTTTTATAACCAAATTAGTTTAGATTTAAAACACGTGCTGGCTGCTTGCCCCATCAATTTTATTGATATTTGCTTTAAATAAGGCCTTCATAAGGAAACGGAGAACCCCTTTTTTAAAAACCCGCTAGTTCATGGTGTTGTCAGATATTAAATTGTTTGACAATACCCTTCATTTACCACTTTGGGTGTATGAAATGTTCTTTAATAAAACATAGTAAACGCTCTCAGGGTACGGGGCCCTTCATTTATTGAGAACCCGTTTATTCAATATTCATTTTGGAACTCTCGACTATGAGCATTGACAGAAAATATTTTTTTCAACTCCAAGTAAGTCTAGCATTAAAAAGGTAATCCTTTCATTTCAATATCATTTGTTTTTGTATTGTAGACTTTTCAATTAGGCTGAAGATGGTCTTTCATAAGACCGAAACATGTCCCTCATGATTTAGTTAAAAATATCATTAAAATTTGTGGAGATGACTTCGAGCATTCCTTCCTTCCTGTGGAATATTTCACTCCACTTTGAGCAATATGGACTTCTACCAAAGATAGGAGTCAAGGTTACGCGGATTCGAAAGTCAGCCGCGGGCCACCTCTTGTTGAGCGTTGAGGGAGGAGAGGCGAAGGCCAATGTCTTGAGGGAGGAGATTGGTAGGAACATCAAGAACCTGCAGACTAAAGTCCATGGGGACAATGTCACCATATTCATCACGGGAATGGACATAACAACAACCAGGGAAGAGATTGCTGCCGCAATTGCTAACGCAATTGGGGACGAAGAATGTAGAATCCAGGTGAAGGGAACTAGGGAGGGAAAATTCGAGGGCCTAATTGCAACGGTCGAGATGCCGAAGAGTAAGGCCATGGGAATTATCAAATCCGGGGCCGTTGAAATTGCCTGGCTCCAATGCAAGGTGACTAAGAGAGTGGCACCAGGTGAAGGACTGAAAAGCAGAGGCATTCTGCTGGAAGTGCGAGTCAAGCGGACATAGGTACGACCAAATGAGGTGCCCTGCTTTCAGGAAGTTAGTCGAGGAGAGCCGAAGGGCACTCTACGTTCTAATGCTGCTAACTACTCATCCAGAAGAGCTATTCAATCAGCCCAACGTATTTGGATTGAGGAAGAGATTGTCATTATGTACGTTTATCAGATATCAACAATAGGTTAAAATGGTTGTATAATAACCTCTCATTTATGTTACACAGTTGTGAGTTAAATTCAATGTATTCTAATTTCCTTGATTTTGTTGTAGATCAAGGCAGGTCCAAACACATAATTCTAAAAAACAAGCTCTCTAACCTAAAAATTAACCAACATCCCAGTAACCCAGATATTCATTTCAATGTTTCTCAGTATTCCAATTACACATTTCATGCTAGAGTTCTGAATCTATCCAGTTGTCAATTTTCACATAAAGAAACTTCTTTTTTAAATAATGGTTTGAAATACAATATTACAAAAAACAAACATATTCCTAATTATAAGTTATTTTCTGTTCAATGTGAAAAGGTTATTGAACAGCATAAGGTTCATAACAAGGATTTGCTAAGAAGTGAGATTGCAAGAGCTTTGAATAAGAATTTTAACATTCATTCCAATCATTTGAATAACATTCATGATCTAAAACTTTCTAAAAATATTTCCAAAAAAATTGTTGATAATCAACTAATAGTCACCAAAGCTGACAAAGGCAACTGCCTAGTTATCCTAGACAAAGATGATTATGTAGATAAAGTAAATCAGTTTCTGGATTCTGATAGTTTTACTGAATTACGCTTAGACCCCACTTTGAAATTCTTCAACAATATGAAAATTTTGTTCAACTCTCGTATAGATACTATCATGTTTACTCATTCTTCCAAAATAGCATTAACCCCTATGAACCCTTCTACTCCTTTACTTTATGGTCTTCCTAAGATACATAAAGAAGGTGTTCCTATTCGTCCTGTCGTCTCTTATTGCAATTCTCCAGCTTCCAATCTGGCTTCTTGGCTTAATTCCTTGATTAGAGATCTCACAGATTTTAGTAATCCTTTGGCTTTGAAAAATTCTTTCAGTGAACAATTCACTCCCTTTTTTGGATTTGCTTATCAACATGGACAATGGCCATTTCAACTTTTCCATTTACCGTAAACCTACACACACCGATTCAGTCATCCCTTTCTCTTCTTGCCATCCTAATCAACATAAATTTGCTGCATTTAATTCTCTGTTCCATAGATTGTTCAACATTCCTATGAGTCCGGTTGCTTTCAATAATGAACTGAACATTATCAAACAGATTGGTCATAATAATGGTTTCCCTCCTCGTGTCATCAATAGAATATACAACAAACACCTCAACAAATCTATTAATAGAAGTTTATTGCCCTTGGATAACCCTAGGAACCGTTCTGCCTCAATTCCGTTCTTGGGTAAAGTCTCCATTGATATTAAAAATATTTTTCATCGTTTTATGGATAATATAAATATTTCTTTTTACACTATTGACAATATATCAAAAATCTTAGTTAATACAGAAGACAAAGTTCATTTGGATCACAAATCTGGTGTCTATAGCATTTCTTGTTCTAATTGCAATGCACAGTATGTTGGCCAAAGCGGTAGAAGGATTTCAACTAGAGTCTTGGAACATGTAAAAACCATAGAAAAATCAAAAACCTCCCCTCCGATTTTAGACGAGTATTACACTAAGAGTTCTTTTGCTAACCACATACTAAATTCTGAACACAATTTTGACATGAATCAAGATTTGAAAATATTACATGTTTGTCAGAAAGGTACTTTATTGAATTTGATGGAAATTTCTGAAATAAATTCTGCTTTGAACAATAATCTGGTCACATCCCTTAATGAACATGTAAACTATGATTGTGTGAAATTTTTCAATTCTTTAGATTTTGCCAATAACCAAATTTAGTTTTTATGTCGTTTGGCACCTGCTTTGGTCTCTTTCAATTATCATCATTCATTTGCTTTCAGATTTGCTACTAACCATCTTGTTGGAATGTTCCTCCTCCCCCTCCCTTTCAAATCTTCTCATTGTCATTTCTGTTTGAGTATTTTTAACTGTACTACCTCTAGTAGAATTCACATTCATCCCATTGTTTGCTTTAATTCTATGTCCTATGTCACTTGTCATAATGTCATGTTATTAAGACTTTGACTTATGTCAAGTTCTTGCAATTAATTCTGTGTTCCTAACCTTAGGTTGGATGTAACACGTTCTTGGCTGTTGGCCCCATCAATTCTAAATTGATTTTTGATTTTTAAGTGCGCTCTCTCAAGGGTACGGGACCCTTTTTCCCGTAATACACCAATATGGTTATTTTGAGCACCTTCTGTGTGCGTCAAGTTTTCCTTCTGGGACTTGACTTGTGATTTTATTCATAAGTGCGCGTTCTCAGGGCACGGGCTCTTCATTTTTAAATGAAAACCCGTTTATTCCTTTAAACTATTTATTCTCATCAATGACATTATGATGAGAGACATCGACATCTTTGTTAAAACAAACAATGTTTCACCTCCATGTAAGTCAAAAATACATTTTTTATAACATTTTGTATATTTTCACATATCTTTACTTTTAGTAATTTCTCAAATACGGCTGAAGATGGACTTTTATAAGTTCGAAACATGTCCCGTTGAATAAACACTTCATATTAAAGTTGTGGAGATGACTTTGAGCTTTCCTTCCCCCTTTCTTCATAATTCACATGTGACAGTCATTAGTCGTAGTCAAATT